TGTCCCATGGGGGTCTACAGCACCCATCCCCCCCCCCCTCCGACACCTCGGCTGCCGCCGCCTGGTGTTATCTTTAAATTTAACATGATACTAAGGAAAAGGTAAGAAGCTAGGATTTATACACTATAGGCCTACACTAGGCCTAAATACATAGTAGGCCTAGTTTGGCCTAGTCCCCCAGGCCTACATCTGTCCTAGCTAGCTAGTTAGGCGGGCCTAGGGCCTACCTAAATACAGAAATTGTAAATATACTGTTTGGTCCCGGGGTCTGTCTTCCTCAGTTTATTGAATTGACCCATTCGGATCTCTCATTTTTCTTCTAATTTTGACGTCTTCCACAGCATTCTCGACATCACCGTAGCTATGTTGACGTCGTTCCACTCGGTTGCTTCCTTTAACCCCGGACGCGATGTGAACGCACAACCGGAAATCGTAACCGGGCCCGGATTCCGGACTCCGGACCGGAATCCGGGCTTGATGTGAACGTAGCTTTAAACGCTTTAGAAAACGCAAGTTGCGTTTAAACCCTGACCTCGAGGTCAAACTGTTCCCTCTGCGCCAAACGCTTCTACAAATCAAATATTATTTGACAAAAATATGTAACATTCCTAAGTATGTATGGTCATGGTGATATCACATCATGAAAATATATAGGCACATAACTATATATGGCATACAGTTTATTATCAAAGGAAATTTTATAGTGTGGACAGACCATAAGAATGAGTGTTTTATATCCGTCTCGGGTCGAACTGTACATATTATTCGTTACTTACGAATTGATCGTATGCCTAAGTAATCAAGGATGAGTTGATTTGAAAAATCTCTCTGTAGGTATTTTCGTATTTATGGCTTCTCATTATTTTTGTTCGAATTTTATTTTTAATTTCTTAGCTGTAACTTGTGAGGTCGGATGGACTTCATTTAAAGGAAGCTGTTATAAATACTATTCCACCCAAGCATCTTGGCACCTAGCCAGGAGTTCGTGTCAAAATAAAGGAGCAGATTTGGTCGTGGTGAGAAATAGTGCAGAGAACACCTTCCTTTACACCACACTTGCCCGTTGGAACGATGTGTGGATCGGCTTTACAGATTTGGCAGTGGAGGGTACATTTAAATGGGTTGAATCGGGCACAATATCCGACTATGATGGTAAGAAATAATTTATGTTTAACTTTTTAATGAATTTGATCAGTTACTCATCCAGGAATTTGGAGGCTCAGGAAGGGACTTTTACCTAGAGATGAAGGGTTCCAATTCCATCATAGCAGGGGTGGCGCCAGTAGGGGGGGGGGGAGAGGGCCCCTGTCGGGGAGAACTGGCCCCTTTGTCGGGGAGAAAAAGCCCAATTGGTCGAGGAGAAAAAAAATTATATGTATTTTCTACATATTAGTAGATTCTAAAATCGATTAAATAAGCCTTAGAAACCCCTAAATCGTCAAAATTTTCAGTGGGCTTCGCCCCTGGACCATTTTCGAAACCTTTTAATGCAAGCTCGACCACGCCCACTTTGCTTTCGTTGGGGAAATCTGACCCCTCGTCGGGGGAATCGCTCCCCCCCCCACCCCGTTGGGGACCTCGGCCCCCTCGTCGGGCAAATCCTGGCGCCACCCCTGCATCATGGTTGGAGCTGAGATAAGACATTTAATGATAAGGCACCATTAGATGGCCAGAAATTTTTGAAAAATTAGGGTGGTGGGGCTGTCGATTTTCCTTCATGTAATTTTATTTTCTCAAATATATTTGTAGGCCTAACTCTCTAAAGTGGACAAGGGTTATTACTATGAATCTAAATAGTATCTATTGTAGGAGGAGCGGATATGTACCTGTAGCGCGACGGTTACTATCTTCCATTTCCAGGGTTTGAAATTCAATGTTATGAAAGATTTTTTCTTGAATAAAATCGTCTCCGCTCACAAATCTCGATAATGATATTATTACCCAATTTACATGTCTTTGTTTTTGTTTTTTTTAATTGGCTGTTTTATCTACTTTCTAAAGTAATACTGCCAGATTGCTGTTTGCGGATAGGGTTAGGCCTATCGCACAATTTACTGTGTGGAACAAATGCATTTGAACAAAGTCGTGTCTCATTCATAATAAATACTCAATACCGTATAGTTTTATTAAAGTTTTAATTATTTTAATCATAATAACTTATTATTATTTTAATACTCATTTATAGATTTCGCTTATGGTCAACCAAACCAATATGGAAATGAAGACTGTGTTAAAATATCTGATTATTTTTCTGGTAGATGGGACGATTTTTCGTGCAGCACTCAATATGCTTATGTGTGCCAAATAAGTAAGACAATTATTTCAAAAAGCATATTGTTTTGCAAGATATTAAACCCTTTTCTTCGTTATTAATGTGTCTTTTTATGATCATAAATTTTATCAGACTGTTCTTATTTGTGTAGCATGGTATGTGTGTCTGTAGTACGGTGCAAATAAAGTTTTACAAGAGAATAAATCCAAAACAAACTTTACATCTATGATGATGATGATAATTAATCATTTTATTTAAGAGTCTGAAGGCAATATATTAATGATTCACTTCATTGAAATTTATTAACTATTTATTATGATTTTTTTTTTATTGTATTTCTTTCTTTTTATTTTTCCTTTCTTTTAAAGTTCCTTTTTTTCACCAGTCTTTTCGTTTTTTTTTTCTTTTTATTTATTTTTGTTTTCATATTCTGCACTTTTCATTTTCGATTCTGCGTACAACATGAAAAACCCATCTTGTTTGTGCTTTCACAAGCATTCAATGCCACTTGATTCTGCTATTCTATCCTCCCATGATATCCCGAAACGGTGGAAAGCATTAGGTTGTTTAATTTGCTTCCTGTAAGGAGTTTAGGACACAGAACAGTAGGAATATCAACAGCTTCATAAACAGAGATTTTTGCCTTCAGTGAGATATCATGGCGTTTATGTAGATTTTCAAAGGGAGCAGCTCTCCCCGACGAGTCCCCTGGTCCCCCTGGCACCATCCCTGCTATAGTGACATAATTCAGACTTGTTAATGCTGACCAAGCTTTAGTGACAACTAGAACACAATTGGCAATAAATTGGATATATTCCAAAAAAACAAGCCAAGAGAGCATAATCATCAGCAAATAGTTCATCGTTAGTTACTTCAAAGGCTTCAACATTTTAACTGTCTGATTGAACAGATGCTATCATGCCTTTTTAAAAAGAGCATATAACTTGAATCATTTTATGAAGAACACGAACCTTTGCAAGTACTTTCCAAAGTGCTACCCTAGTATCAAAGGCTTTGTAGGGTCTTCAAATACCAAAATTCTTTGTGATGATCTTTACTTTAGCCTTTTCCTGCACTCGCATAAAAACTGTCATATCAGTTGTGCCACGGTCTGTACGGAAACCACACTGCCACATACAATAAACAGTGTTTACAACAGTGGTTCTCAAACTGGGGTCTGCGGACTCCTTAGGGGTCCACGAAAAATAATTGGGGGTCCGCCAAGTTAAAGGGGTGTGCAGGGGGTCCGTGAAAAATGTGGGGATTAGCAAAAATGTTGGGGGTCCGCTAGATCATTACTTTTTCATCATTCAATTATTTTATTTCTTGTCTTACTAGTGTGATCATGCCTTTACAATAATAAAACACTTTTGACAGGCATAACTTCGTTCACTGTAAACTATTTTAATTGGCATTATATTTTAATTTCAATGTTTTATTGATGATATGGTAGAATCTTTTAAATTACTTGTTTATGTATTCTTATGTAAAGTTGTTTAGTATATGAGAGCCACTTGATAGTGGCAATGCTCAGGTAATGTACATTTTGTTTCCATGTTTCCTTTTGCATTGCTGTTACCTGGGTATTGAATAAACTTTTAAAAAAATAAGGAGGGAGCCCTAAATTTAACCAAAGTAAAAGTAAATGGTAGATAACAGAATATTACATTTAAATTTTGAGTCTGACAGTGTCATTTCTGGCCATCTACAAGTGCCATAAACATACAAATCTCCTACCTCATCCTAAACCAGGGTTGGGCTTAGGTAGCCTAAATCCCCTATCCGTAAAATTTACTCTCTCTACCTATCCCCTAATGTCTAATTTATGTCAAATTCCAAGATCCTAGATTTGGCGAATCATTTCATCAATCTATTCATATTCTTATTGGCAGAATATCAACCTTCAGTTGCCCTTAAATTTTGTGGCGAATAATCTTCTATCTGTAGGCGTAATATTATCGTTGGGATATGGACAGTGAATGCTATTTGGACATGGGGGTCCGTGCAGATTTTTGGCATGTCCAGAGGGGTCCGCGAACGCAAAAATGTTGGAAACCAATGGTTTACAACATGCTTGTTGATTCTATTCCGTTCAATCAGTAGTTTACCATTCGCTGAGAAAATTGGCGTGCTGCATTTTGAATTTTGACAATAGACAGATTTAAATTGATTTTATGTTATGTTAGTCAAAAGCATTTTGAAGAACTTGAGCCTTTTGGTACCACCAATCATCCAAGTTATTAATAATATTAAAGACAGACTATTTTCCTAGTGTTGATGAATGATGCGCTCACTAGGTGCTGTAGGAGGTGGAAGTTCGTCGACGATCTCACCCTTGGAGAAGTTGTTGCCAGGAATGCTGAACCTACCATGTCTTAATGAATATGTTAACCAGTTGTGTAAGCGTGATAATATGATACCAAAGTCATCTCAATGCCATATCATGACGATAATTTTTTTTAAACATAATACGGATGAAATGGGTTCTCCTAAATTTGAACTTAATGGTACTCTTTTAGATGTATATGATCACTTGAAGTTACTTGGGGGTATCATTCAGAATAATTTAAAGTGGGAAATTAATACTAATGATATTGTCTCCAGAGCTTCTTGGCGTTTGTTTGCCCTGTGTACACTTAAACGTGCCAATGGAACTGTTGAAGATTTCATTACTCTAGAAATTTAATATTATATTAATTAAGTGCTTTGCAAACATGAAAGATATAGAAATTCAACACTTCTTACTATCGTTAGACTATGCTGCTTCACATTAGTTTTTTTTTTATTTTCTACTTTTATTATTACTTTTTATTGTAATGTTTTAAATTAATAATTTTTCATCAACTAATTTTATTAAATTTTTAAGGCTGTTTTTAATTTTTTGTTACAAGGATTTTTTTTAAAATAAATATTTTAGACTTATAGATGTATAGGTGCATTTGGATTTCATAATTTTGTTATGTGCCTTGTGCCTAATTTTGTGCAATAATTCATGTCTTTAAATGTTTATTAATTGTATTTATATATTTTTGTACATACAATGATTTTAGCAAAACATATTTTGATGTTTTTATACCGAAATAAATAAACATTAAAATTGGAGGAAAATAAATAAGGCGTATGAGAAGACAAAATTAAGAATTATAAGAATAATATAATGTTCTTATTTTGCTTAAACCAGTGGGCATATTCAACCGATATAGAGCACATGATGGCAATGTTTTACAAAGACACTATTTTAGTATTCGGCAGCGTCAAACAATAATGACTTAAGTAAAAGATTTAGTAAAAATAAAATAAACATTTAGCCTACTCTAACAAATATTATGGTACACTACACACTAAACATTAGCAAAATATTAGTGAAATTAAATATATATAATTCTGTGGGTATATTTCCTGACCCTAGGTATATTCGAGGTGTTGATTGGTTGAGCTGGCTTGACCCTAACCTTAAACTTTAGTCTTGCTATCTAAACGTACTACAGCATGTAAAAAGAATGTCCATAGTGTATTTATGATATTTGTATATTTTTGCAATTAGATTTAGATCACGAAAACCCACGACTTGACGGTTGTCCAGAAGGAATAACTGTTGGAACGGAACAGGGAAAAAAGTACGCAGAAGTCAGATGGACGGAACCAGTTGCATATGATAATGTAGAAATTTATACAGAAACAAAATCGCATTCGCCAGGAGATAGGTTTGAGCTCGTGGACGGAAAAACAACAGTTTACACTGTGCGATACTGGGTACAAGATTCTAGAGCAAATGAAGCAGAATGTCTCTTCAATGTAACTGTCATTGGTAGGTTTCATTATCGTGATGATGTAAACATTATTGATACGATTGGTAAGATAAGGACCATATAATAATCATTATAATAATGCAAAAGTGGATGGTAAAAGCGCGCTGCAATATTTTACACGCACGCTAGATATACTGTTCAACATTTTAATTTATACAAGAAAACTGGAAAGATTAAAACGCAACAGTAATAAAATCAGAAATATCAGAAAATAACACACCATTAAAAGAAATGTGAATACGTAAATATGCATCGCACACAGTCAACATAATTAAAGAAACACGTATCCGCAGTCATACGCATTATAAAAAATGCATATGCATTACAAGCCCACGTTTAATGTATATACTGTATAATAATACATATATGGATCTTCAAATGTTAAACTAATGAAGATTTTTTTTTTTTAAATGAAATATAACTTTTTTATAAGGTAATTTGAAAGTACGAAGATTATTCGATTCTTTCATTCGCGTTCAGATCTGGCCTATGTGTCCCGGGTATGATTCGCTATTATTATGCTGTTATACGTCCCGTTTTAGAATATGCAATTCCAGTTTGGGGAACTTGTATCCCTGAAACAGAGTAAACAGCTTGAACAAATCCAAAGTAAGGCTTTAGGGGTTATTTTACTAGATGTTAGCTACGAATGTACAAGTTATTTTTATAATATCCCTTCACTGTCAGAGAGGTGCACCCGTTTGATCAGGAACTATTTCCAGAAGCTAAAATCCTCAACGCATAGGCTAAATCATCTTTTGCCAAAAGGTAGGGAGACACATTACAACCTAAGGTGCCAGCGTGAATTTCCTCTCTCTAGAATAAAAACCGAGCGTTTAAAGAATTTTATAACAAATGCTGGTTTATTAAATATATGGTAAATCGTCCCTGTACACCCGGGCCTTTCTCTCTGGCGAGGTCTTTTTTAGATAATTTATTCTTTTTATTTTTAGCGAGATGTTTTGTTGGTTTAGGTGTCGGTCCGAATTGTCTTATTGATTATATTTGTTTACCCTGTTGCAATAATTTTACGCACCAGCATATTTTAGTGAAATTTTCATTGTTTTTATATTTATTTTAGGTGGCACGATATTGAGTGAGTCTGAGTTTCTAATGCTATATCCTTGTCAGTCGAATACCATTTCAATTTAGCTGCATAGTCGTGAAGGTGCAGTGCCATGAAAACATATATACATTAAACATGCCTTAGCCTAATCGCTTCTTTTTTTTATATGTTCCATGACAAGCTATTAATGATATCTTCCCCATGTATTGTATTTTAATCAAAGTTATTAGTAACTATACTCTCTGCCCTTTTTTTTGCAGTTGGTGGATTACTGTTTTATTTTCTTGCTACTATTTTTCCAAATTGAAATACCATAATCCATGCATGGCTGTATTGTTTTTAGATATAGTTTTGTTTAATAAACTTTTATTTGAAGTGTAGGCTATTTTCGAGAGTAGATTCAGTTTAGCACTTGTATATCTTTTTACCTATTTAATAGGTTGTTCCCATGTTAAATTTCATCAATTGCAAGTCCGAGATATCTAACATATTGTACTGTTTAAAGGTACTGGTGTCCAAGACCAATGCTTAGAATATGAGGTGGAATAATGTGTTTGTTTTTTTATTAAAATGATTTTAGGTTTGTCTGTATTCATTATTATTTAATTTATATTGTACCATTCCTGAACGTTATTAACTGTGCGCTGGCGGTTAAAATTTATTTCGTCGATCGTTTTTCCTGACACATATAAAACAACGTTGTCTGCATATATACTGCAAGAACCATGAGTTACAGATTGCGATAAGTTGTTATGAAAATAAGGAAGTGAACAGGACCTAGACCACTGCCTTGCGGGATACCAATTTCAATGTCCTTTTTCTTTGATATGTTATTCCCATATTTGAAAACTTGCTTTCTTTTACTAAAATAATTTTTGAACCAGTTTATCGCATTATATTTTATGCTATAGTTGATTATCTTTTGTAGCAAAAGAATGTGATCTACGGCATTGAAGCACTTTGAAATATTTAAAAAGCATGTTCCAATCATTTCAAGTTCGTTGAGCAGCTTTACTTGAAAGCTGTCCCAAATATGGTAAACACACAGACTTTCTCGATTCTGCATTATCTAGCCTATTGCTGGGTCTGGGTGTAGCAATGTCTCTCGTGTGAAAGTTTAAGGGCTGCCTTAACATGTTGCACTTGTAGTGTTGTTTTGTTTTGTTTTGTGCTTGTCTGACAGTATATTTGCATGATCTCGTTGGTACATCGATTGAATAATATATGGTGTTATCCATGGTGATAATCTATTTTTTACTCTCATTGATTTATATGGGGTATATCCTATGAAGGAATGTTTCCATTTTTTTCTAAATAGCAGTAGTATTTTAATAACCAGTTATAAATAAGTCATTCATTTCGTTATTTTCTTATTAAATTTTATTTAAGTAATTGGGTAGATTCGAACTTATTTTCAAATTTATTAATTTGATTTTTGTGAAGGTCAATATCAAATATATAATCGATGTTAAAATATCTTAACAATATTATTTCCTTATTTTAACGCAGACTTTTTTTTATAGCATGTTTGTTATCTTGTAAAAATATTTGATTTTTGAGTCAGGCGGTCGATATACATGCTGTTAGCATATGTTCGTTTACTTAATTATTTATTTCGCTCCATGCCACTTCTATTTCTTCGAAATCTAAATTTAAGTCTTCCCTGTTAACAAATTGGATTCATTCATGTATATAAATCTTAACTCCACCACTATCATTTTCTTTGTAATGAGTAAATCACGGCCCTTTCTTATTAAAGTATACCCTTCTATATTGTATACAGTGTCAGGATGTGTTTCATTTAACCAGGTTTCTGTTATAGCGGGTATATTTAATTGTAGTTTTGTCAGTAGAAATTTTATTTCTTTTTTTTATTTATTTATAATGCTCTGAACATTTCGCTTTCCAATTATAAAACCATTTATTTTTTTCAATGTTCCTGCACACTTGTTATATGCAGCATTGTTAAGTCTTTTCTTACTTCTGTTTGACATATTAATATCTAATGTGTCAAACATATCATCATCGTAATAATCATCACCATCATCACCATCAACAAACATAATTCTCATCATCATTATCATCATCCTATTCATGAACATCGACAAAATTGTCGTTATATTCCAAGATATTATCATCATAATCATTAACAGCAGTAACATTTTAATCATTGTCATTATCAACATTAGGCTGTCGTTATCCACACTAACATTTAAAAAAAATATTAAGATTTATTTCTACATCTCTGATTTTGTTTTCTATACGTTTATCATTTGTATCATCGTGGTCACCATAAGCATCTATATTACATATTTCATTTGTATCGATATTTCCAACATCACACCTAGTAAGACTATCTTTTACCTTAACATTTTTATTTAGGCCTATTTTATTTATATTTCTACTAATTTTGCAATTTTTAATTTCGTCATGAAATTTAAATTTTTAATTAACATGGCCCCTTCTTCTAAGCCACGATGTCAGTAGTATTTAAAGTTTCTCATTTTATGTCTTCGTTGACAACATTCATAACATACAATTGGGTGATGAAACCTGCTGCTACCTGCTTGATGGTTTTTCTCACCACAGCGATAGCAGCCATGACTGTATCCTCTTGATCCTTGCTAATGATTTCTAGACCAGATCGCCTAAGCTTAGAGTGTTGTTTATGTAAACCTTGAGAATAAATACGGTTCTGTCACGTATAACTGTTTAATGCGGTAATTACTATTTCTAAATTTTCTTGGTTGCCTCTCCACCTCTTTACGGCTGCTAGGTAGTCACGGACCACTCCCATACGCAATTCAGCAAAATGACGCTTCGAGTTATTCTCCAGGCTACATTTGCCTTTACCTTTAGGCAAAACGTATAAATAGATTTGACAGGCTAAGTTAGGCCCAGGATAGTACCGTATATTTTGATTCAATCGCGGTTACAACAGTTCTCTTTGCTGGGTGATTTGACTTAAACTTGCTAATGTAGGAAGGAGGGATAGCCCTATTCTTACTCCTAGAACCTGTTCGCCGTAATTCGATTGGACTTATGAGAGTGTAATTTTATGTCTCCATGGTATAAATAAAATATTTATATTGCCAAGCTCGAAATTGACCGGAAAGCCTCCAAATCTAATATGGGCGCCAAAATTGCTCTCATTTTGATATTTGCTAGAACTTCCAAATATTTCACATAGAACAACGGTTTTTTTTTTAGTTTATTATATGAGTTTTGGTGTCAGAGCATAGGGTGCCACCATCAAAAGTCAAATTCAGCCATTAGTGGTTGCAAAATCCAAGATAGCTGCCAAAGTGGCCGCCAAATTTTATTATTGACCATAACTCCCTTAATATTCCATATAGAACAGAAGTTTTTTTTTTGTGATTTTAGATGTTAGGGACACACAATAGAACCATCAAAAGTCAATTTCAGCCATTAGTGGTTGCAGAAATCCAATATGGCCGCAAAAATGGTGGGCATATTTTAATATTGACCATTCCGTCCCTTAATATTCCTTAGAACAGTGGCTTTTTTAGTCTGCGACTTAAAATGTTATTGTTAGGACTATACAGTTGCACCACTAAAGTCAAATCCAGCTACTTGCAGAAATCCAAGATGGCCGCAAAATGGCCACCAAACTTTTAAATTTAAAATAAATTATATTCTATTGTATTCCACATTGGACAACAGTTATGGTTTGTGGGGGTATGTCATCAGAAATTACTACGATGTGATTTTGCGTCAGGAAAATATCATAGGAGTGATGTTTTGCCCTACCTGACGTGATATCGTACCGAATATGCAGTACTTTTAAGGGTAATTTAAAATCCCAGACCCAGACTTAAATATCTCAAAAAGTGTCAATGGCTTAAAATGACACTACTTAGAATAGTTTGTCATGTTTCTATGAAGAATGTTTTAGATTTTGGTGACCATCCGGAGTAGGGTTTTGATATGAGGACCCTTTAACGGAAAACGTCCCAGACCAGATATTTCAAAAAATAATAACTGATATGTATAACAATTTCAAAAAAGTTTAACCAAGGTACAAAGAAGAAATTATCATGACGATCCAAATTGGGGTGGGCATTTGAGGGACAAAAGATCCCAGACCTAAATATCTAAATAATGGATCAATGGATAAAAATTACAATTGTCAGAATAGTTTGTCATGTTTTAATAAAGAAGTGTTTCAGATTTGGTCACGATCCAAATTAGGGTATTGATATGAGGACCATTTAAAAATAAGTTTACCGTATTACCGTAGGCAGAAACAATAGCTGTGATGAATAATTACATTAGTGCAATTACAGTAAAGGTGTACAGCGTTTTATATGTACTAACTTCAATTTTTTCAGAACTTATTGGAAATATGTGTAATACTTACTTACTGGACAGCATCATTCATTTCTGCACATAATGCCTGTAGGGTTTGTATATGGGAATATGTTTAATGCATCTTTACATTTATAAACACGGTAAAAAAACAAATCTCCATATTTTTATTTCCATATTATGTACATTTCAGCACCAATACATTGCATGTTTGTCGGCAATAAGAGTAAAACGTGCCAGTATGTTAAGCCAGAAGATGTAAGGAATTGTATGTGTACAATGTGTAAAATAAAAGGCGTTTGAAAAATGAAGTAATTATATTATGTTGACCTCACTATTTGGACAATTCAAAGCAAAACGTGGCAGATCAGATATTAGAAACTAATCAACTAATCTAAATTAAACTTTCGTGTTAGTGTAATTTTTTTTAAAGTAGATTGTGGTTGGTGGTTGTAAAGTCGGAATATATTATTTTTTAGGAATTAATTTATAGAAAAAAAGTGACGGTACTGAGTAATTATTATTATTGTTATTATTATTATTATTATTATTATTATTATTATTATTATTATTATTATTATTATCATTATTACTTTTATTAGTATTATTTTATTACTGTTTTATTATTTTTATATATTACTATTGATATTATTGTTATGTCTTGTTATTATTATTATTATTATTATTATTATTATTGGTTTTGTTGTTGTTATCAATATTATAGTTATATGTTGGTTTAGTTAATGTTTCTGTTATCCTAGCTATTTTTTTTTTGCTTGTATTACTTTTTTTTAAATATTATTTTTATAGTTAATTATTGTATTTATATTGTTTATAGTAACACCTTGGTTACTTACCTTGTGATTATCTTTTACTTTTGTTTTGTTTTTAAATTAATTTCAGTATCAATGCTATTATTATTTTACAATATTATTTTAGTTCAGTTACGTAGTTTTTACTTTTCTTTTTATACCGTTATATACAAAAGAAAGAGAAAAAGAAAAGATAGAAGAAGAATGTAAAAGAGAGAGAGGCAAAATAATTATTATGAGCTGACATTAGTGATTAAGTTCACTTATTGGCATATCCTTGGCCCTCGTGCCTAAAGAAATAAAATGAAATGAAATCATAGACTCAAAAAATGTTGGAATATAAATATGGGTAATGGTCAATATTAAATTTAGCTGTTATTTCGGCAGCCATCTTGGCTTTCTGCAACTGCTAAATTTGACTTTTAGTGGTGCAACTGTATGCCCTAATGCTTTAATTAAGTATAGATTTAAAAACCATTGTTCTATGTGGAATATTATGGAAGTTATTGCAAAATATAAAAATTTGGCAGCCATTTTGTCGGCATTGGTCATTTTTTTTAGCTTGTAATACAACAAATTTGAGTTCAACACACCTCAAAACCCCTAAAAGGCTTGTATGCCATAAAATTAAGCTGGTTTTCCACTAGGAGAATTTATTCGCGCGAATCAAAGCGTTGGTTCGCCTCCTGAGCTCTTATTGGTTGCATTTTCGCTTCGCAAAAACTCAGATAGGAATGTGAATGCGCATGAACCGACGTTTTAGATTATTATTATATCATTATATTATAAATATTATTATAGTATTATTATTAATATTATTTATTGATTCAGTCTTTTAGTACTACTTTGTCATTATTGAATTGTAGATAACGAGCCACCAGAGCTGCAATGTCCACAGAAAACATCCAATTACTATAAGACCAATTACGGATTTATCCACGCCTCTACGGACGACGGAAGTCCTAATGGCACAATTACATGGACACCATCGGTTGCTAGAGATAATAGCGGGATTTCACCTATCATTAACAATTTTCCTAACAAACCAGGTGAAGTGTACCCAATGAAGTATTTTCCGCCATACACAACTACAATTACAGCAACTGACGTATCGGGCAACTCAAGAAAATGTGTTTTACATTTTGCTGTTGTAGGTATGTATGCTACATTAGTATGTCTTGTTTTGCTTTTCTTACGTGTATTTCTTTAAATACAAAGACCTACCTCCGTCACTGTATATTAAAAACACACACTGAGTACTGAGTCTACATCAACGATAGCGAATGATGCGTCATTTTAGCAGTGTTTATGGTTTAACGGTTTCTTTGACTACTGCCCTCTACGGCACTTACTGTACCCGACGGTCGTCGGCGACGCCATTCTACTAGGAACACAACGCAACGACATGCGCATACCGGATCGTTTGTAATGACGATCCGTTCCTACTGGCCACAGTCAATCACCAGACGGCGTCGTGTAGTTTAGCGCTCACAGGGAGCTGAGTTAAAATCGTCGTGCGACTTCGTAAGACACAGTGAGTGCCCGGCTTAAATCAGGTAGGTTAAGTCCATTGCAAGTTCAAAGCCAGTCAGAACGCGCATACACTACGTAACGTCATAAGCAAAACATTTTCCGCGACACACTGAATCTTTGCTTTAAATCTTTGCACGCTGTGAGTTTTCAACATTTTTTTTTTCATTCTACAACGATGGAGATTGTTGATCGAATGTGACAATCGCCGACACTTCCAGGGGTGCGGGTGGGGGAGTGGTGAGTATGTAAAGAGGTGCTTGTGGGAACGATTTAATTTGTTTGAAGCTCATCACAATTGCGGCCTTCATTTCGCTCTGCCAAGTCAGCCGAAACAAAGATAAAATCAAGCTCGTAATATCTGCCTA